AGGAGGAGGAGGAGGAGGAGGAGAGGCGGGGGCAGGTATGGGGGGGGGATCAGGTGACGGCAGCAGCCCGGCGCACCTGGGCTCGGCGACGGGTTGTTTGTTCTGAGCAGGCGGCGGGCCAGGTGAGTGGGGCTCTGGCTGGCGGCCCTGGGGCCGTGCGATCCCTCCCCGCCCGTATACTTTGATCCCAGGTGCTCAGGGAAGAACCTGATGGAGAAAGGGGGCGGGAGGAGCTGCCCTTACAGAAAGTTTTCAAGCGCCGATGAATAAATAAAAGGCAGGGCGATCAGGCAAGTGTTATGGGGTCCTGAAATAACGCCCCCCCCCGGCTTTCAAAAGGGGGGTAGGCAACGCTGGCTTAGGTTTGGAGTAAGGCTTCCATTCTTTCAAACTCTCAGTTGTTCAAGAGCAGCTTCAGCTATGCCTCTTCCTTGATGTTTGCTCTGCTCAAAAGATGTGGCGGTTTATGGTGATAAAGCTTGGGCTGAGACTTTCTATTGGAACCCGGTAGTCTATTTGGCCGAAACAAAGTTCTGCGACATTTCTTTGGCCTTTAGCAAATGTTCCTAGGATCCTGGGGCCTTCGACTTTATTCTCAGCTTCGGCCCCAGGCCAACAGTGACTGACTTTTAATAAGGGCCTACTGCACAGGGTTGTTTTAAGGTAAGGCAAGCTGGAGTGATTAGCAGGAAGTGCTGTGGAAAGGCAAAATAGAAATGTCATTTTTATTATGGCTTTCTCATCTCCATAGCTTGTTTACTGTCATGTCCTGCTTCCGAAAATCTTCCAAAAACAACTGGCTGGCAGTTGGGAGAAACAGGAGGCTAGAATGGGCAGGTACCTTGTCCAGCCCAGTGTGACTCCTGTAATGCTCTTGCTAATGAAGAGGATGGCTTTTGCCTTTGATTGTGATGATACACACTTGAACTACATGGGAACCTGGTTAATAGGCTTCTAACCTTGTTTCCTCAAATCTAAGGCCCCACTGCCTGATGGGACTTACTCTCCAAAAGGCTTGCAGCTGTAAACTTGCCCTGTCTTGACTCTCCTCTTTGCAGAAAGCTGGTCATTTCCAGCTTTCAGCCAGAAACAGATCTAAAGCTTCACTTTTCTCCCATTTCCTGGATGTCCAAGTCCTTCAGGAATTATTATCACTTCTCTACTCAGCTAAAGGATCTGCTACCTAGGCACCCCAGTTTCCTTTGTAGAATATATATCTACATGTAGAGGTGACATTCTGATGCCTGCTGCATGGGGCTTTATGACCCATTCAAACATTTGCTTAACATATTCTGGGGACCTTTTGTGCCTGCCGGTCTCAGAGGAAGTGGAAGCAGATACACCTCTCTTCCTTCCTCTGGGATCTCCCGTAAAGTTTAGGCTGCCTTTACCAATAACTAGAAAGACTTCAAAATATGCCTCCACCCCAGTGCAAAATGAAACTGCAGAGAAAGGTGGAGAAATAATCCTCCTACTTCCTGCTAGGTTCAGCAAGCTTCAGGGCTCTCTTGCCCATCACGCTGTGTATGGAAAGTGACTCTCTCTCTGGCTTTGTCCTATCACCTAGTCGTATCTACTCCAGCTTCCTCCTTTGTGCCTGTTGCAGGTTCACTACCATCAACAGGTGGGAAAGCCTCTTGTTATTTTCAGCCTCTGCCCCTCCTTTTCCCAGCGTGCCACGTGCAACTTACCCTAAAGTCTTTTCTGCTATTTGCCTGTCATATACTCCTCCCCCTTGCTGATTGTGTCTCCCAAGGTGATGTGTATGTTCTCTCCCTTTGCTTGTCTCTGTGGCAATCTCTCTTGCTGAGCCACAGTATACCTTTACACCGTGCTCAGCGAACGGCACCGAAGGCCAGGGAATAGTGACTTCCTGACATTTAGCCTTTTCTGTTTTCTAAAAGGAAAGCAGAGAATGTCAGCTGCTGGAGGTGATCAATGTGAAGATTGCAGCTGGTGGGAAGAGAAGGGTTGAGCCTGTTTTTCCTTGCTGAGGTCCTGAGAAAAGTTCATCCTATAAAGATAGTATTCCTGTTGAGAAGAAATGCCCCACTGGCTGCCTGCAAATACCAGTTTTACAAGGAGGCTCTTGATTGAGACATCAGCAGGATGAAACTCTTTCTCCCTGACTTCTGCATAATGTTCAGATCGAATATATGGAAGAAGGAGACCAGGCACCTAACCACCCACAGATTGTAGCTTTGGATAGGTGGGTTCCTGTTTTAATCATGGTCATGCTTACTGAATCCCGAGTAACAGGCTTAGAAAAGGTTCCAGCTGAGATGTTCCTATTCAGAAGGAAGTGTACCTCTTTAAGATGGCCCAAGATGTTCCAATTTAAAATAAGGCAGCTGCTTACATACTAATGTTGCATATGAAAATAGTTGTCGCCTAATGAATTTGTAGCTAAGGAGAGTTCTTGTGGAACTGTTCTCTCATAATTTCTTATGCAGCATGAAGGAGACAGAGCTATGATCCAAAAATACCTTGGCCCAACTCTTTACTTTGGCTGTGAATCCTCTAGGTGGCTTTAAACCAATGTTTATTGGCCTCATTTCCAACATGAATATATTACTGGTTTCCCTTATAGAGAGGTTGTAAAAATTACATGGAAGAGGGTTACCCACCCTTGTTGGTCTATGAGCACATCTAGAATTTTGAAAGCATATTGTGGGATGCATAAGTGCTGTGTAGGAGTAGGGACTCCCCATTCATTACATGCAGGTTATAGTCGCATGACCAGTTAACAAAAGGTCAGGTGAGGCATAGAAGTCTGGAGGGTGCTAATGAAGACCTCTGTGGGCGTATTGGATACTGTGAGCACCACCTCTGAGAACTTTAGTAGATATGAAAGGAGGTGTGCTTCACATTCAAGGGGACTTACTCCTAAGTGAGTGTAGGATTTCAGCCTATCTTTTTTTCTCCAACTATGAACTCCACCATGTGGGAAAATGCCAACAGAGTCCTACCATGGCATTATAAAAATCCAAGCGTTCCCAACTCAGCGTGTTTCACAAAGGCTAGATTGCAATTATATGAATTCCTAGTTCCCTATGCAGGATGGTAGAACTAGCACTCCCATCCCTATTTCCATCAGAAAGTGTGCGTATGTGTAAGAAATGTTTATTTTTGCATTGTTAATGCAGCCCTGTCTTTTTCCAGGTTCATGCAGTGGCTTCAGAAGCTGCTCCTTAGCTATCCTGCCTGCCTGTCTGTGCATTTCATTTCACTTCACTTCCAGATGTGGAGACAGCCAGGAACAGATTCTAAAGCAGCTATGCAAGTTTGAGGGGGGAAAACCCAGATGCTATAATTATTTGGGGGGGAAAAACAGCGTTTTGTGCAGCTTCTGCCTATTCTAAATAATCTCTTTCAAGGGATTTGGACAGCCTAATAATTTAGATTAGCGGTACAGGAGCCCTCATACTTTTTATGCTGGAGTAATGCCCTGCACTTAAGGAAAAGAGGTGGTAAGAATGAAGGAAGGGGCTGCTTAACCGTTTTGCTTGCAGTTGTTTCCCCATTTTGAAGTTTCTCCCTTCCTCAGCCGGCAACTTTGAATGAGGGGGAGGAGCCAGTTAAGAAAATGAGATTTGGAATCTCTCTTTTTCTCCAGAGCTTTGTCTATTCAATACTGCCCCCTCCAGCTGCTTTTTATTAAAGAAGAAAAAAAAATCAAGTTACATGCTATGGAGCGTGATCCTTTCTAATCCCCTTTCAAGACGCTTCAGTGTTGCACCCCTGGGACCTACGTATATGTGCAGTGGGGCTCAAGTAAGTCTAACTGTGGCTTTAAGAAGAAAGATGGTAGAAATGTTGTTCTGTGCTGTTACAGAGAAGGCAACTTAACTATACGAATTTGCCCTTATCTCAAAAAGAGAAGGAGGAAAGAGAGGCCACTCCCAAGGTGAGCTGCAAGAGGTTATCCCAAAAATCTAAGCACGGCGGAGAGACTACCGGAACAGTAGACTAGCCTGGAAGGTCAAAAAAACCATCTTGACAATCACAAGCCACTGATGGAACCCTGCCGAGAAGATTGCACGGTTCTGTCCATGAAGTCACTAGGAGATTCACTTAGGGAGATCTACTTGATTTAATCCTCATTGGTTTATACCTGTACTAATGCCTATTTCGTTCTCTTTCAGCAGGCATGGGGAATCAAGTGGAAAAACTGACCCACTTAAACTACAAAGAGGTTCCCACAACTGACCCAACAGGCATGGACAGAGATGAGGGTCCCAGGATTGGAGTTTCTTACATATTTTCCAATGATGATGATGATGTAGAGCCTCAGCAGGACTCAACAGTGTCAGATCTTGGTGGGGATCGTCCTGCATCACAACCGTACGACCCTCAGCTTCACGAAGTGGAATGCTCTATCTATTATCGTGATGAGTGCATTTATCAGAAGAGCTTTTCTGGAGACCACACATTGTCTGGTGAGGTAGATGGAGGCGGAGGGGGCCATTTAACCACCTACACACCAGAAAACCTATTGAACAGGTGCAAACCTGGTGATCTGATAGAATTTGTGTGCCAGGCCCAGTACCCTCACTGGGTGGTATATGTTGGGGACTTCCAGGTGGTGCATTTGCATAGACTGGAAGTGGTGAACGGTTTTCTCACAGATGCCAGCCAGGGCAGACGGGGGCGCATTGCGAACCAGTTGTATCGCTACAAACCACTAAATCCTGCCACAGTAGTGCGAAATGCCCTGGATCAAGTGGGTCGCAAAGACCGGGATCTCAATTGGAGGAACTCTGAATGTTTTGCAGCTTGGTGCCGCTATGGCAAGCGTGAGTTCAAAATTGGGGGCGAGCTGCGTATAGGCAAGCAACCCTATCGGTTGCAGATCCAGCTGGGAGATAAACGCAGCCACACTCTTGAGTTCCAGAGCCTGGAGGATCTCATTATGGAAAAAAGAAGAAATGATCAAATAGGGAAGGTGGCTGTCATCCAAGAACTGTCCAGCCATCTTCAGGCCGCCGAGGCAGACAATGAAGAGGATGCTAACGGCAAACCAGGTGCCTGGACCAGTGCTGAGTAGCAGTCCTTGCACAGTCAGGCTGCTTAACCTTGGTGACGGATTAAAACTGAATCCTGCGAAATTGAGCTGTTATAAGCCCTTTGGGCTGTTTCAGTGCAGCTTCACTCCAATCCCATGTGAAGGAAAGGGAGAAAGCTGATTAAGCACCAGTCCTTCAGCACTTAACTCCTTCAGTGCTTGGTTGAACCAGCAAGTTTATTTGTTGAGGGTTAAATCTCAGGAAGATCTTCCTAACTCGCTGTTTATACATGTCTCTCTTCCCAAATTGCATCCCTCTTCCTCCCACTTAGCTTCTGCTGTTTTAAATTGGATGGGGTCCAGCATCAATGAACTACATGATTCGATGTTGGAGCAAAGACATTTCCCCTTTATTCTTTTTTTTTTCTTCTTTATTTCCTACTTTGGCATTTCTGGAATCTCTCCCTTTCATTTTACTGGTTATGGCCTTCCATTCTTCCTGTCCTCAATATCTCTGTGAGGATTGAATGGTTAAATTATTGTTAATTTTGGGTCACGGGGTTGGCCTGTTTGTGCTGAAAGATTTGGCAGAGTTGTAAAGGAGAAATAGCGTTTCCTGTCTGTGGCTGAAGCACCTTTTCTGGGTTGTATGGAGAGATTTAAAATATTTTCACAGAAGTGAGATTACAAAGTACATAATGGAATAAGGGCTGCAGCTTTTCAAAACACTACCAAGAAACTCTTTCCTTTAATTACAGTGGAGTTGGGTTAAGCCATGGCCATCAAGACTCTGTGTAAGTCATTGACGTTTAGTGGGAGGGCAGCTAAACCCTCTTAGCACCAGTGGTTACAGCAGGATTAATTTGCTACAAATCCAAGTACTGTTTGGGCACATTATGTATTGTTGGAAAAGGTGACACAAGAGACAGGCAACTTTTTTTAAAAAGGCATTTTATTCCTAGGCAGTGAAGCTGGTTGTCTCGCCATTACTGTTAAATATCTGAGGACAGGCTGTTAGTGCATCTGGAAGAAACGTCTTCTTTTCAATCTGTTTTTTAACTTCTTTATGTATAAAATCATTGATTTCATTTTTTCAGTACATTTTTTTTTGTTTTATTCAGTGGCTAAGGGCACCAAAGTGGGTCCTCTCCATAAAGAATAGGAAAAGAGGAGCAAGATAGTATGTAGTGCCCATTTTTAAGTTAGCAATGTTCTGTCTTCAGCCTCTCCAAGTTGATTTCTGTCAATGCCTTTTTTTCTGGCGTACTTCTGCTTCTCTAGGCATATTGTTACAGAAGGAAAGAGAGAACGGCCGTTCCCCTTGTAGAAACAGAGGAGATTCAAAGGTTTGCTTTGCTGGCAGGTCACAGTTATGAAGAGAGAACTGCCAAAAGTTCTGTTTGGGCATTATTGCTGCTACCATAAAATGTCCCAATCCTATAAAAACTGTTCAACGGGCATTAACTAAGAGCTGTGCTTGAAGAATTGCTTTGTAGCTAGGAATTGATTCTCTTTATACCTATCAGCAAATAGAAGTAAGAGTTGTGTGTTTGTGTGAACAGACTGTTAACTTTCTTGCTAATGGCTGATTTCTCATAAAAGCCACTGATTTGATTTAAGTAGCAAAGATGCATATTTGGAAGTAAAGGTGTTTAGGGTAACTAAGCAGCATTTTAAAACATGCTTGCAGTTATTAACCACTACTTAACAGACAATATTCTCTGCTACCTCTGCATTGTAAAACCATAAGGGATGCTTTTCAGACACATGCATCCACAGTGAACTAATCTATTACTGTCTTTGCAAAATATTGAGTTGATGTTCCAGTGGTTGGTTATTCCTCTAGAGTAAGCAACATATGGATTGTGGGTTGATAAGGAAGAAGCAGTGATAAAGTCTCGCTCCTTTTCACCTTATGCTTGCAGAACCTTGTTTGTCACAGTGGTGGCTAGACAGACCCACAAATCAGTTTAGACAAATCACTGATCATCTGAAATGAGCTTAAACTGTGATCCTTGATCTTTAAAGGCTTTTAAAGAAGCATTCTCAGATGTCCTGTTTTGTAGCATTCAACCAGAAGTTAGTAATCACATGATTAGAAGCTGCTTTGCTGTCAAAAAGTCCTACCCTTCAGAAAAACAATCCTTCCTGTGTTTTGAAAAATGCATACCAGGGGAAAGTGTAATGTGATTCCTCCTACCTATGCTGCTTAGGTTATCTTCACAGTTTCCTATATATTGGGACACCCAAACTAGGTTGATTTCCCCCATTTCTCACTATAGACTCCAATCCAGGGGACCTTTTGCAACAATACTTGATTCTGCTGAACGTATAACCCACCATTGTCAGCCCATAAATTTCTTGCATACCAAACAAGACAGGCTCAACTTCAAGACCTTTGGTGTATTGTGCTAATGCCCTGCGTGATTATTTGCATTAAGGGAGAAGGAAGCTAGTCATGCAGAAAGTGAGATAATCCAGCAGTAATTTGGTTCCCCCATTTGCTTCTGAGAGTTCCATTTTGTGATAGTCGAAGTTGATAAAAGATCTCAAGGAGCTACATGTTGAAAGTGATGTCTTTTTAAGAACGGGATGTATTCTGAGGTATGAGCTCTGCATACCACGATTGTTAAGCTCATATGCAATATTGTATGTTTTTAAGCACAAAATCTGAACGTACCTAACTTGGCCATTGAAGAGCAGGACATGTCCTTAAGCAGTCTGGTGAGGCGTACAGCAGTACTTCTGCACACACGTATCAAAGTTCCGCAGTTGTAACCATAAGAGGAAAATTTGCAATGGAAACATTCTGCATATATTTCACAGGAGTACACAATAAGCAGGACTTTACTAGCTTATTAGGACTGATTAGCATGGAGAACCTTTTAAAAATAAGTAAATGTTTACTGCTATTAAAAAGGCCAAGAAGTTGTTCTTCCTGTTGAATCCAGCAACTGTATCCTAGATTCAGAGATATTTAGTTATTAATGATTCTGAATTTTGTAGAGAACAAAACTTATTTCGCTATGTAATAGGTGGTTGTAAAATGATATTTTCTTACAAGTATTTTTGAAAGAAAGTCCATCATAAAAATATTTACATTTTTTGAAAGTTGTATTATTTTCACAGAGAAATATATCCTTCAAATCAATTTTTTTTTATTTTTGTCATTGGTGATCTAAAGGTATTTTCTAGGTCATAAATAAAGTGTAAAAGAAATGATAGATGTTGAACATTGTAAATCTATGTATCTGCTTGGTACTACATTGTAAATTAACTGAAAATATTTTTTTCTTGTCTAGAATATTAGAGATAGTTAAAGAGGAAAGAACTAAATTACCATTTTTTTTCCAAAGGCATGATCTGCTTTATTTATAAAAGCATACTTGTTCACTGCTGGACAGCTGGTCAAATTCAAATCAAATTAATTTCTTGAAGTATAGTTACACAAATAATTCAAATATTCTGATTTTTTTTTAAATAATGTAGTTCCCGTTATTATGCTGATATTGTCAGACACTGTTGAAGAACATTATATCATTATTTTATCTTTGTAAAAGCTTTCTGTTTACATTCTTGGTCCCAAAATGATGTGAATGTCAAAAGAAGATGTAGTAATTCCGTCCTCAGCTTGTGAAATGAAGAGCCGTAAAAGCACTTTTTTTTCCAGTACTCCATGTGGCTGATCACTACAGCATTCTTCCTACCATCAAACTGTGATTAGCATTTCTATGGGTAAGGCCTTGTTTAAAAATGAAAGTAGTTCTGCTCAAATGGTGACACCTCTCCCCCAGGTTGGACGCACATCAGTAGCTCAACCAGGATCCCAGGTGTGTGTTAGCTGCTCTTGTTCCTCTTTTTCTCAGCCTTCAAGATGAGAAGTAACTTGCCAGACAACATCACTGAATGCAACAAGATCTCTGTAACAGTCATTGGAACTCCCTATTGGAGGTTTATGGTTTTTAGCTGGATGTTCTGCTAATTGGATGGGTGGAATATTATATACATACACACCATCTGTTTTCTTTCTGCTGAACTCTGTTTTCAGTGCAATAGAAAGATAATAGCGCATGACTTCATAGCATGGGGCAGGCCTTCCTGAGCTACATGATATTTATGCTCTCATGGAAGAATGGATAGCTACTACCTACGTACATAGAGTTGAGCTGGCAGTGTTGAGACAGCATGGTAGCCATGCTTTGATGTGCCCTTTACAATTCATCTTTGCCCCCTCTCATTTGATCTCTTTGTCCCCAAATGGGAAGGGTAGAGCTGATAATTATATTCTTTGGCTGTAAGAACTTCTTATACTTGGATAATTCTCATGGCTTCCTGCAAATACTCCCAAAAGAAGATGATCTTTTGGCAAAGATGGTAACTCTATGTCAGAAAGCTATTGCTGCTTTCACAGAACCCCAGTATCCAAGCATTCATGTTACTTTTCCTGAAGTGCAGATAATTTTTCTGTGCTTTTGACTTGGAGTTCATTCAATGTGCAGTCATGTTACAATCTGCATGTGGAAAACTTGAACATACGTGACTGCAACCATCTTCCCCAATTTGATCCTTTTCAGACTTCATACTTTAGGCTACAAATCTCCATCAATCTTAGCATTACCAGGGGTTGGGATGGTGGGGCAGTAACCCCAAACATATGCAGGTTGAGGAAGAATGGTGTAGGGTCTGCTGGAGCATTGCTAAGAGCTTGAGTGGTTTATATCTCAACTAAGCTAGGTGTAATGGATGGGCTACACCCGGAAACAAAAGGTTCAAATCCATAAACATGGATGTCTTGTGGTTATGTGAGAATGGATATGAGGTTAAATGATGGCGTGCCCCCTAATAACTTGCAAACTGGGTTTAAGCAAGCCACTTTTCATTCAGCCTCACCCTGACCTGAAACACAGGAATTACTATAGTGGCCTATCTTGGAAGGTTGTAAAATGTATGATATAAATGTACATTGAGCATATTATGGATTCTAAGACCTGTTATGAAAACAAGGAATTTTGTATATAGAATTCTACTAATGGAGGCTTTAATATGACAAATGTTAAATACTATCAATCAAATTTTTATTATGGTCATAGACCAACATAATTACTATGTTTATTGTACCCCAATTTTACATGGGGCTTCCTAGGTTTGTCTGCCCCATTGCTCTTGAGGGGTTGATCAGGGCTGCAGCATTAACCTATTTCAAATTCTCTAAACCTAGATTAAGAGTACAGAAATAGCCTCTTCAGATATGGCTGATCTACAGTTCTTTGAAATCCTAGCCAGCAGAGCTAATATTGAAAGTTCTTCAGCAACAGTTGAAAAGCCATATAATCACTATCCATATCTAGGAGTTGCTCAAATAAGCTGTGTGTTTTTTCTTTTAAAATAGCAATTACTTTTGTATTTCTTTTAATTTAAAAAAAATGACTAATTTCTGATAATCTCAAAAAGCCATGTAGCCAAGGTTCACAGAAACTGAAGTCTAACAAAACTGGGGCACATTGGTTGGGAAAGATTGCAATAAATGGCTTTGTTTGGGCTTTTGACTTTAAATTATTGAGCTGACATTGACCCTTCTCTTATTTTCACTTGGCTTTGAGTAGCACTTAAAAGGATGACTCATAAACGGTTTGAAAATTTACATTTTCATATAGGCCAAAGGTAAACTCAACTTTTCAGAATAGTTTTAAAAGGGTCATGTTTTAGCAGTCAAGTCCCTTTCTTAAAAAAAATAGCTGGTTTAAAGGAATGAGTGAGTAAAGCCATTGGTGAAGAGAAAGTCTATATATGCTACTTTTAAGCATCCTCATTTCAAACTGGTCATGCTTTCCATTCACTCCAAGATTGTGTACTTTATCGAGTTGGATTTTTTTGAGCAGATGGGCAACTAGGAAAGTAGGTATACTAGTTCACAAGATCACCAGATGAGTGTTCTTATATATGAGGAATATCTTCATGGAGAAAGCAAGCACGGGGGTGGGGGGAGGGGAGGCAAGATGAGTTTAGAACTTTTCAATATTAAATTTATTTTTCCATGCTTTTTGTACTTAATCATAAAATCTTCCTCTTATACTCTACTTACATGGTAAGGCTGGGTCCAGACATCACACTAGGCCAAAATATGGCTTTGTTTGACATCTAGTGTATTGTCTAAACCCAGCCATTGTGGTTGATAAACCACATTCTATGATGCAGCCATACTGACTATGACTAAGTCAACAAACCAGGGTTTATCTTGATGTGTAATCCAGCCTAATTCTTTGCAGAATAAATTTACCCCTTGATCTCTTGGTATAGATTATGCCCAAAATAGCGTATGTATTCTGAATAAACATTTCAATATATTAATTACTTGAATCCAGAAGGATTTACACTGGTAACCTGATCTCAAACAGGTGAACTATTATTTTGGCATATTGCTCTGTTTCATTGTGATGTTTTTGTGTTTTTTCCATGTGAACTATGTGAACAAAGAAAAAAAGCACATGTGAGGAGAGCGTTGCTGTTGAAATAGCTGCTAATTCTGCCCTGTGTCAGCTGTGGGAGCAAACTGGATCTTCTTTGCAGAGAGTTATAAATACACATTTACCCACGTCATTCAGATGGTCGCTCAACCCAGAAGCAACATTGCCAGGGTGAGCTGGTACAGTGCCTCTTTCCAGCATTTATGCATATGTCTGTGTTTAAAAGATGTAAATCAGAAGTCTAACTCTAAACATGATCAAGGCAGGTGGTAGTGCCTACCAACCATAGCTTATCTTGGCAAAGTGAAGTAGGGTCAGTGACTTGGAAGACCATCAGAAATCCTTCAGCTGCTGTCTATAGTGGGAAGTTGAAAAAGCATCTTGGAAGAAGACAAAAACATATTGCTGCCCCCAAACAACCATGGGCATATCTGTGTTGTCACCAGTAGTTAAATTCAAGATTTTATCTTTACTTTAGCTGTAAAATAATTATAATCATGCTAGAATTAAAATGATGTGCTTTGTCTGTTAAATGTTAAAACAAGGGCATCGTGCCCCCTTTTGTAGAAGTTTTCCCAAGAGGGATGGAAAATTGTCAGCTGCTTTGTCACCTGTGCTCTTGGACAATTAACTCTAACCATTTCTAATAGCAAGAGCCTTCTAGGAACAAATATTTCTGAAAGCACATTTGTATAAATTCAGGCAGAGCAAATGATGGTGTACTGTATAACCGGCTGTCCTGTTCTTCCATCGTTCTCCTTACAATTTATTGTTTTAGTGTGAGATCTGCCAGTTTCCACCTTCAGACTGGGATATGTCAGTGAAGGAGTACACTTTTAATCCGTGGACATCATATGGCAAATGAAAACTGGGAGGTAGCCACTGCAAAAGCGTTTATAATATTATTTGAGAAATCACTATTAGGTTGCCTACAGTCTGTATTAGCAATAGCTCAGTCTTCTTGTGATGGGGGTGGTTCCCTTCCTTCCACTAGTCATCCTTCCCTCTGTAATCAGTGTTTCCAACATCTTCCATGTCCAAAGACAATGACTGGTTCTGGTTGAAACCACTACCAGAAGATCTCAAAGGCATTTCAGCTTCTTCCATTGCTTCAACTATCTTATGGCTCAGGGATCCAACATATGCATTCTGAGTGATGGGCTTCCCTTTCTTCTTGAATATAATGTGGGTGTTGTTGGGAAATCCTTGGGATGACTGGCTGCCTAAATATTGATCCAGGACTAGTGAAGATTAAATAGGGATATTCTGAATTTAAGGGGTCTGTAGATCCAAACATACTGTGTAAAGCAGTGTTTCTCAACCTTAGCTATTTTAAGCTGCATGGATTTCAACTCCCAGAATTCCCCAACACACGCGAGCTGGGGGGGGGAGAAGGGGGGGTTGTGTTTGACGACCTGATATTTGCACGAGGAT